CATAGACTTAATTTACCTTAAAATAAGAAAACTGCATTTTCCAACAATTAAGCAAGTGTAAACTGAAATATTTGAGCTGACTTCTGTTATTCTTTTCTTTCTGTTAAAGATGAAGTAGAGAGGGGAAGTTTCCATTTTCCCATAAGAGGCAAGTTTTGGAAGCCTTTAACAGTTCACTAAAAAATCAGCTGTCTGTGATCTCTTCTAGTGCTCTGCCAAAATATACTTACAGCAACCTCCCCCTTTTCTTCCACATGGAATCACATTAGAAAACTGTTATTTGATGCCATAAAACAATGTGAATCAGTCTGTTATGTGTTCACTTGATTAAATGGAATACATTTTATTGCTGCATTTGCATGCTTTTCTTTGAAATCTGGAGTCAAGTAACTGAATCTCTTTGAGGCTTAAGCACATTTTAGTGGTGTATGTATAAATTCTTGGCAAATTAGCAGAACATTATTGCCTCAGCTTTGACAGTGCTTGCTAGGGGGGAAATGAACAAAGAATGTGTTCTGGCTTGGCTCTGATTGGAATAGAGAATATGATTGATTAAGGTTTGGGGAAAACTCTGTGTCTTAGAGCCACAGTGGGAAATTACTGAGTAGCTTCAATGATCTATAATCTTTGTTCAAAGAAGAGATTTGACTATTTTCTTTTGAAAAATAGGTTCTGGGATTCTTTGATAGTAGAGGGGGAAGTTTGCAGGTTTTGTCTTTTCAGAGCCAGTAGTAGGTATAAAATCAAGGTACTTAATTACAATCAGATAGCAGCAGGTGTCACAATTTAGGAGCCAGTGGTTGTTGACTTGTCTCCAGCAGTGACCAACACAGATGCTTCAGTGTAAGTGTAGAAGCAGCTACAAATCATGCTGACACACCAGTGGGGATGACATTTCCTCCTCAGCAAGGAGTGCTGCTGGTTGGTCCATGTAATGAAGCATGGAGTACCTAAATAGCTGTTCTAGATAATATTCCACAACTTCTCTGGGAAGCACATTCCAGTCCCTCTCCACCCCCACAGTATTTTCTCCTAGCATGTAATATAAATATCCCCTGTTTTGGTTCAAAACCATTCCCTCTTGACTATTACTATCTGCCCATATAAAAAGTAACTTTTTAATAAGCCCCCATTAGGTACTGGATGGCTGCAATGAGGTGTCCCCAGAGCCTTCTCTTGTCAGTGATAACCTCAAGAGAACTGCTGTGAAGTTCTGCTTATCTTTGGTGGTGTTCTCTCTTAGTCTTTCCTGTTGTGTGCTACATTCACTGAATTCCCTTGTTATTTCTTGTTGAAGACTTCTGAACTGTGCTGTTTTGGTAAGATGTAAGGGGAGAGGAGTAGAAATAAAAGGAAGTCAGGCTCATCCAGAATATGCAGTGTGTGTCACAGTGTACAGTGACAACCCCAGTCACCTGGCTGGATGTGCCCACACTGAATTTGTGCAGCAGGAGCAAGGGAGACACAAGAATAGAGTTGATCATAGGTTGCCATTGTGTTTTGGTTGTTCCTCTGTATCTGTAGAGCAGGAGCTCATCAGGAGAAATTCTGTAAGGTCTCTGAGGCTGCTGCTGTAACAGCACCCAAAAGCCATAGCAGGGTTTTGTGGTGTGTATTTGCTACCCCATCCTTTTCCTCTTGCAAAACAAACCCAGCCTGGTCCTGGCCTTTTCTTCCTGCAGTAAGAAAGCTCAGATTTGCCTGTGTTTGTGTTTGTGTTTCTGAGTAGCTTTGAGCTGGCTGTGGATAAACAGCTTCTGCCCTTTGTCTTGCAGACTGCAGGCATTAATGAGTAGGCAATGGTACCAAGGACATCAGACTGTGTTTGCTGATGAGCTAAGGGTTTGTTTTGGTCTCCCTTACTCTAATTGTGCTAATTGGGTGAAAGATTGCAGTGGGAATATCCTTAAACAGAGCTGAAATTTCTGAGTGTGGTCAGGATATTTTGGACATCTTTTTTTCTGATTTCTGGAATTTGTTCCATTCTGGGACAACATAATGTATTTTAAATAGCTTTTGATTTTTCAATTTGAAAAGACAATTCATTTTTAAATTGGTTTGGCTGTGGGTGAAACCAGCTGTGTTCAATTAATTAAGGAAAAACAATCTCTTGAAAAAAAAATAAAATATTTTGGGTTTCCATAGTAGACTTTGGCCTTGTGGTCAGAATTCATTAAAGATTTTTAAAACCAAACAACTCTTCTAGAAAAATCAAACCACCCAAAACCACACCAAAACCCATGAACAAAAGAAACCAAACCCACAAACCTCGTTTATTTCAGATTGGCCTGCAATAAACTTTTCGGGTCTTATTTTTCCATTCTGCCAATAAATTAAAAAAGTGATCAGATTTTCACAAACCTTTCTGCAATTGTGATTTTTATCAGAGAGCTGAGGTACTGAATAAAAAACTAAAGTTTTCTTCAGCCTCCAGTTAGGCTGGGTAGATGTTTGTAGATTCTGGGTTAAGTCTTGCCCTCATTCACAGCATTTCCTCTGATTTCAGCATTTTACTCCTGAGTGTGCAGGGCTCAGAGGAGTGTGATTACTCTCAAGGTTCACAGCCAGGGTACTTGGGAGGAACTGTGACAGGACCCCTTCTGCTTTGAGGTGAATTGCTCAAATCTTTAAATATGATGGGAGCAGTAGACTAGAAAAGGTTTGTAGTCTAAACTCAAGTTTTACATAAATGGGTACAAAACCTGTTATAAATAGAGAAATCAAAATAGTGATGTGAGACAGCAACAGAGAAAAAAAAATTACAATTCCCTTTCTTAAAAGGTTTTTATGCCAGTATGGTGTGGAAAGCCAAGTATTGTCATTTTTCTTTTCTGTTCTGCTGTGTTTTGAAACTGGATTACTTCATCAGGCAATACCAAACAATCTGCATCTGTGGACATCCAATGGAAAGTAGTGAAAAGCTTTCAAGACAAAGCCAAATAAAGTACAGTAATGTCAGGAGCATTCAGTGGGGATAGAAGTCCAGAGCTCTGCATGTTTTGGTTGTTGGGGTTTTTTTTTGTATGAAAACCCCACATGCAAGTGGTTTGAAGCCAACTAAGTATTCATAGCAGGTGTTCAGACACAGACACTGGGTCATTTTCTCAATAGTGCTATCAAAATGAATGAAAACTCCAGCACAGTGAGATCATCACCTGCTATAAATTAACTTCAGTAATGTCAATTTTCATTCTGGGTCTGGAATTCATCTGACACAATGCCTTAATTTTTAGTGCAAACTCTGTGATCTGAGCAAGCTGTGCTTGCCTTTGTTTGGAGAGTTTCATCCCTGCCTGAAGTGTCTGCCTGAGACAAGCTGGGGGAATTATGCCTACTTCCTTCCACTGAGTATAAAGGGAGAGGGGCTGACAATCTCAGATGTGCTATTTGCTTAGTCCTTGTAAACAATGGGTGTTAGATGAGGTGCATTTGACCCTGATTGTGGCTTTCCATAAAAATTGAGAAGAAACTTTCATTGGCCTAGGCATTTTTAAGAGCTCCATAAAGACGAGACATCAGATTTATGGTCAGATATTCTGATCTTTTGTCACACTGTGACCAGCCTCTTAGTCCACAAAAGAACACTCCAAAGTCAAATGAATGTAGCTGCCCAACCTGAGGTGTTTCAAGCAGTTTTGATTTGGAAAGGAAGACTCCCTGACTGTCAAAACCTGACCCTGGGCCCTGCATCAGGGTGGGAAACAAGCCAGAAACATCAGGTATGCCAGAGGTTGTGGAGAGGAAGAAGCTGAATGCAGAGCTCTGCAGGTAGGGTGGGCTGATCTATGCCCACCCTGGGGAACGTCACAGGGATTCCTGTTCTGGACAATTCCATGGTGGAGAGGCTTAAATGACTACCTCTGTCATGGAAGTGTTGACATCAAGAGGTCTTTGCTAGTGGACATGTGGAGGTTTAGAAAATACAAGCATCCATCATTGAGTAGGAATTTTAAGAACCTGCATCTTTAATTTTTGCATTCCAAATAACAGCTGCTTCTTTTGCCAGTTCAGCCCTGTAGGACTTGCAGCTTTCCAGAAATGTGTGAAAACCTCTGCAAATGCTGGAGAATTGGGCTCCAGAGAACATGTTCATCCCACACTGTGTATCCACAGTGTCTGACTTTCAAGCCTTGCTGCTGTTGCCATTGAAGTCAATGAGAATTTTGCTATTGACCTCAGCTGGAATGAGATCAGTGGGAACAAGCCCTTAGGTAAATATGTTCAGGGACATTAATCAAAGGTGTGTTTGTTTCCTTAATGACTTTTTGGACCTGGCAGAAGAGAGGATTTCAGATTTTTTTAATATAGTGAGGGCAGCTTTAAGAGTGCAGTTTCAAAAGCCAGACTTTTAAGGTATTTTGCAATTGTCTAAGTAGGTGGTATGTGTGTCTTGCAGCATTTAGTTTAAATGCAGAGGTTATCCCAGAGATGGGTGTAAATGTTCCCTGCATTTCTCTTTTTTGACTTTCTGGTCTCTGTGGTGCTCCAATTACCCTTCACAGCACTGTTGATGCAAAGAAAAAGCTGAACCAGCTTTGTTTTGGATAGAGATGTTAAACAGTCTTAGCTAATTTTGTGACAGATTTTCTTCCAAGCTAATCTGAATTCTCTTTGTTTTTATATGCTACCAGTCTATTGTGTGCATCACAGCATTTAGTCATGCCAAATGAGTGAACCAGGAGTCAAAATTTTTTTGCTAATATCTCATTAAGATGAAATTAGACATTTTCATTTTTGAAATTTACCCTATCTTTTAATAAGAGAAGAAGAAATCGAGATGCTTGAATAATGTGGGAGGTTTAAGAGGGGATTTCTACGTGACCTTGAAAAAGCATTAATCATAAGCACATACATTGTAATATGGATTTTATAGCACAGGCACCAACCAACACAGAAATACCTGTGTACACAAGCTCCAGACTTTTTATCCTTTTTGCCTAACCTCCTCTCTAGAAAAATGTAATGACCTTGAGAGAGTAAGGAACAAAAATGAAACCATGCTGAAAAACTTTTATCTTTTTATTATTGGTGCCTTTACATTAATACTGCTGTTTTGTGCTGAGAAAACCAATCTGTTACACGTACGGTAACTGTAATATACAACATAGAAATGCAGTCTAAGTTAATTACAACAAGGAGCTACAAAAAAAATTCGTAGGAAAGAAGTCACCTAACATTGCAACTGTGCTTGCAACAATCACTCCCTTACTGCAGGACTATGCACATTGTGAACCATGGTTATTTACATGTCCCTTACAACCGTTAACAACAGAAGGGCTAAAATCAGTCTAAAAAGTTCCAGAACGTCACTATATACTGTACAATCCTCAAAAATAATTTATTACACTGTTTCTAAAAAAAGGTACTAATTTTGCTTGGATGTCTTTTGTTTTCTGGTGTTCTCTGGAGTGCACAACATGTGCAAAATTTTGCCTAACAGTCTAAAAACTCAAGAACTGAACCACGAGCCACAATCACAGAGACGAAGTGGTGGAGTCCAGAACTTCCCTCCCGTTGCACACGGTTGGCACATACATACTGGCAGATGCTGGAAGAGAAAGAGAGGGGAAAATCAACTGACTTCAGCACAGCAAAAAGGGACAACGCACAGGATTAGAATTTGTGTTGGTCTGGACCATCTCACCCCACTTAACCAAGGTTCCCAGTGAAGAGTCACTGCCTGTGTCAGCAGCAGAGCTGATGGAGGTGCTGCTTGCACCTCTGCATGGCAACTCAGACCTCAGGCTGAAGCATCCTCTCAAGAAACCTGATTTCACCTGACTGCCCACTGGGAGCACAGAGGGTGATTACACTTCTCCAAGAAGCATTGGAATAAAATACATTATTTTTATTTTTTTTTATGATTCTGTGCCACTGGGTCTCACTTTGTAGCACTTTGCATACAAAGTAGTATGTGAAAGGTAGTGTGAATTAATACATCTACAATAGTGCTAAAAATACCTCTGCAGAAAAAAGTGAACCTTTGAATCTTTTGTTTTATTGGCAAGAATTGCTAAGGTCTGATCATTTGAGCTTTCACATAATTGGAGTGGACATTAATGAAGGAAATACATGTAGTTTTAAATCTGGGAGATAATCTACCCTATTAGAATTCTGTATCAATGATCTTTTAATTAATAAAAATAAGAATTATAAGAACATATTGGGTGAAGAAATTTTTTAAAAACTGACTTTAAAAGTAAGATTATTTCTCACCTAATCCCAGAATAATTTCTGCCTATAATACACTTCACTTCTAGGAGCTCTGGATCAGGATTCAGAGCATGCAGAGGTGAGAACCAGATTCTGATAAACTTGTTTACATGGTATAACATTTTATACATCTGTTTTTCATTGCTTTAGTGTTATTAAGTGACAACTGAACCTAACAATCTGTTTCTGAATGTATTTGTATTTTGAGCAGAGAATGTATTACCCTATTTTGCTTAAGTCTTGTGGATTTTAATTTAAAAGGAAACTGCTTGTTGTTCATCTTTTATCCATTTTATCCATTAGGCATCAGGAATGCGTTTTCAGGCGCTCAATGACATCTCTGCTCAGGGCATCAGAAAGCTGCTTTTTGAAAGATACATTAGGTTAATGGTGACAGTGACCCAGAGAAATGTGATGCCTTCATCAAAGAAAACACATGGCAAGCAATGACTTAGTAAACTCAATCATCCAGTGTAAATTTATGCAGCTGACAAGGGCATGCTCAATCTTCCACATCTGGTGCTGGCTGCACTTTCAGTTGCACACTGGCTCTGTAAAGATGCTCAGTATAATTTTTAGGAAAAATTATTCTTTCTTCCAATCAGCTGGTGTTTTTCACTCTGATTGACTGAATAAATATTTAATGGAAAACAGAATTGCTTTAACAAAAGAAATTTGGAGGCATCTACTGGACTAACCTACTGCTCACAGGGCAGGACATCTTCCTGAAACAGGAGAGCCAAGAATGAGCCCCTCTTCTGGATCTGGCCAATGGAATTTGATCTCTCACAACATGGACGTGTGTTGTGAGTCAGAGGTGTGGAGCAACTGTTGTATGTAAAAGACCACAGGGCATCATGTCTGTGATTTATAAAAATTAATTTGTATTTTGTATTCTGTTTTTAACTGGCTATAATGTGGCAGCACAATGACCTTAATTTTTCTTGTTGTTATTTCTATTTCTACTTTTTGTTAAAAAATAGAAAAATCAGTTCTGCTCAGGAAACCTGATTCAAATCCCTGTTCTACTGCAGTATGGCTACAGGCAAAAGCATTTTGTTTCCATGAACATCAGTCACTTAACCAGAATTTTTTTAGCTTCAGGCTTTTTTTTTGAAGTCCAACACACTGACAAGCATGAATAGCTCAAATACTATGGTAACTGGGTCAGGAGGATATAAAAATTGGACAGAAATATATGGTGGTAGGCGAGAAATGAGTGGCCTTGCCTTTTAAGTTTCCAGGCTTCCTGCACAGCATGCACCTCTCTTCTAGTGCTGGGATGCAGTTATTAACTCTGCTGGGTGGAGTAAAGTGTTCACACCGAGCATCCAGCTCTCCTGAGACAGAACAAAAGACCTTGCTTTTCATTACAGACCTCAGCAGTGTTAATCACTGGCCCTGCAGGGTTCTGAGCTGCACTCTGCATCTTACAGCAGCTGCCAAGGGCTTTCCTGGAATACTGCTGGATATGCAAGAGACACTTCACCTTCACTTTGTGTTGAGACCAAGGACAAAAGTGTGACATCAGCAGAAGTTGTGATTTGGCTCAAGTTCATGCTTTTGATCTCCCTCTTCCTGGCTGTCCCTCATTTTGCTTAGATAATCCAAGGAAAAGAACCAGAGGTACAATGCAGGAGCCTGGATCTGCCATGGTGACCTTGCAGCTTTGCCTACACAGCCAAGAACAGGCAGATGTGAATTTGCTGTCAGTGTGCCACTTAGGATCAGAGAGTCACAGAATATCCTGGCTTGGAAGGGACCCACAAGGACCATTGAGTCCAATTCTTGGCTGAGCACAGGGCAACCCCAAAAATGACACCATGTGCCAGAGAGCATTGTCTCCTCTACCCATGCTCACAGCTGGACAACTGTGAGTTAATCTCACAGATGTGTATCAAGTTATATCAGGTGTAGTTTGGAGCCAGGCCTGGGAAAATAAATTCAGAGGGAAAAAAAATTGCCAGTCTGGCTATAAATAGTAGGTTCAATTCTCCTTCTGACCCCTGAGCAGGCCACCTGGAGGAGCTGAGCTCTGTGTGCAGTTCTCCATGCAGATGTAACATGGATAAATGACATCTGGGTGTGGAAGCTTAGTCTGAATCATGAAGGTGCTTATGAATTCAGGAAGGTGAGTTCTCTGTGAAGATTTATGGGTGCTGAAGCACATAAAAGAGGAAAACAGGAGAAAATCCTAATGAGTGAGATGCTACTGGAGCAGCAGAACTTAGCATGCTGCCAAATGGGAATTTTCAGAACCAAAACAATGTGTACAAATATGTACATTTCAGAACATGTCATATACCTAAGCACACTCTTACCCTGCCTCAATTTGGCTTAAATATATATATATATATATTTATTTTTTTTTTGGTCCAGACTTCAACTATCAAAAAGATCAAAGCTTGACACTAACACTTGGACTACCCAAAAGCATTATGAATGTCACCTTTTCTCAGTGTGTTTGACCAGTTTCTGTGGTTCAGGAAGCTGTGTTAAAAACTGTCTGTGTGCTACTTGCTGTTCAAGAGCCACTATGCTCATGGCATTCCTGACTGAAGAGGTGGTGGCAGCCCTGAGATGCAATGGAGGTGAGAATCCATGGAGATGGGAAAAACACTGACCTCTAGAGCTCTTATAATGCATAAAACCTGGCTTTTCAAAGTTGCTAGAATGCCCTAAAGCTAATTTTGATGAGTTTGATATTAAGAAGTTTCTGAATGACCATGATGCCACTGAGACCAAAATATAAACAATCTGACAGCCCCAGAAGTGATAAGAGGAATATTTTAGACAAAGATTAGGACCAATTTGAATGGCAACCTTTTTGGAGTTTTATAAATAACTAAACGGTTAAGAAATATAATAGAAATTTATTTAAAACAATTTAAAAATTAGTGGAAGGGAGCAAGGGAAGATTTTTCATCCTGGAAATATTGTGACAGTGATAGACAGTGTTATTTTCCCAAATAATTGTCCTAGATGGAAACTATAGGGCTGTTTCCCTTGTAATGTGATGGACCTTTTAGCCCTATTTCCATGTCTTTCCATGGACTAAAAAGTCCAACAAGGGGAGCAGCCTGATTCAATTAAGTGCAAGCAGGAAAAGTAAATAACTGCAGCAACCTTTCTAAACAATGAAGTCGTAAGAGATTGTAAATCTGGATTTTTATGCTTTTCTTAATGTCCTCAAGCTGTTTGCAAGCCTGAAAATGCAGGTTTTAATGTGAAGATGTGCACTGAGGATGTCTCTCAGTTGCATGTTTGCACATGTGTTTACACGTGTTTTAATGTAGCCATTAAAATAAAAGTATAAAATTCCAAAATGCAACCCAGAATCCAGTACAAAGTATTTATGAATCAAAATTATTTCTAAGCTCATTCCATAGGATGATAGTATTAAAAAACTTGGAAAGACCACTTACACAAAATTGATAAAGAATGAAAAGAATCTCATGGGACTTACCGTTTCACCAAGGGACCACACTTCTAAGAGTTTTTGGAATTGATTGGTCTTTTGGGAGTGTTCAGCACTTCAGGCACATAGTGCCATGTCATTAAATTTTCCAGAACAGCAAGGAGTATTTGCTCTCTGGTGTCAGGACTGGATGCAGCCCTGACTGAGGAAACTGGGGACCGATAGAGCCACATGGCTGAGCTCTTGTTAAGGAACCCTGGGCATTCCTGCACAGTATGTTTTGGGATTGGAGAGCCAGGGATGGCTGGGATCCCTTCACTTCCCAATCCCTGCTAAGGTGATACATAGCAGGGTGCCAAGTTACTTCCATGCTCTGTCTGAAATCTGAAGTGCCAAAGCTTTTGAGACAATTTTGAAATTTAAGTGACACTCAAAAACCTCAGGCTAATTTACTGTGAACTTGCTGGAGAAGCCTTGCTTGTGTCCCCCTTTTCCTCTGCCTCTTATTCCCTCCCTCTTCACAGTTGTAGAGTGCTTTTCAATTAGATTTCCAGGGTGGACATGCTGTACAGAGAGCTCTGTGAATGAGCTCCCATCTTTGATCAGTTAGTTAAGCTAGACAAAGAAAAAAACCTGAACAAATATACATGTGACCTGAAAAAAACCTGAACAAATATACATGTGACCTATATATTTTTTTTTTTGTAATCCATAAAACTCTCTGAGCAGCTCACCCAGAAAAGGAGTGACAGCCTCAAAACAAAATCACAGCTGTGAACATGCTTGTGATGAAGAGAGTGAAGATAAGGGAAAGAAGGGAATCAGAGCAACTGAGTTGTCCTTGCAGCAGAACACTGATTGCTTCTCCAGGCTGTGGCACTGACAAAGGCTATTGATCATGCTCTGCAGAGAGATGCAGTTTATGGCATCCCTTGGATGCATTTTTTGCAGACTTGGAGCCTTTCCTCAGAGTGCAGGTGATGAGCCATTGAGAGCACACTGTGCTGTGGCCCAGATCCTGTCAGTGTGCTGCTCTGACAGGAGTACTCCAAGGCAATCTGCTCCTGTCTCACTGCCAGAGCGACAGAGACACAGGGGATGCTTGGTGTGTGCAGCAGGCTGGAGCCAGTGCCTGCCAAAAACTTTCAGTGAGCTCCAGAGCAGGCTCTGAGCTGACTCCCATGCGAGGGGGATGAGTTTTCCTCTCCAGACACGAAGGAAATGACACTTTCACAGGGTTACAAGGTTCAGCCCACCCTGTCTTTACCCGAACCCACCACAACCCCACAGAAAGGTGTCAGGCTTGTTACTTACACTGTGAGTAAGTGGTCCCAGTCCCACTGACACTGAACCTGTTGAGGTGGAGCCTGTGAGTGACCACGTTCTTCTGGGGCTGGAAAAGGATGATGTGCACCTTGGGTGCAAACAAGCAGCCCAGCACAACAAAGCCACTGAGACTCACAGAGATGCACATGGTGGTGGTTTGCACCTAGGAGAGAGTGGGCACAAAGCACTGTGTTTCAGTATGGAAAGCTCTGAAATGCAAAATATTAGAAACATTACTACATGACAGCACGAACCACAGTCCTGGGGGTTTGCACTGGTGCAGGCTGGTGTGAATCTCTGTTGCATCCTTATGATTCCAAATCCCAGTATCATGGGAATGAGGTGCTGGTGCTGGTGGTGCCCTGTGTGTCTGCATGTGTCTGCAGTCAGAGAGATTGAGTGTGTTCTCCCTCGTTTTAGCACAGAAAGGATAGATCTGCTCTCTTTCTCTCCTACCCTTGGTCTCTAACCTCATCAGAGTTATGCTTGTCATGCAATATCTGAGCAGTGTTGGCTGCAGTGGGAACCAGCTCACACATACTGTACATTATGTGGGTTTACATCAGGGGTCTCATGCAAAGCATCCATCTGAAACCAGTTTGGTCTCTAGCCCTAATCAGAGAACTTGAGTAAGCCCTTGCAGAAATATAGGTGTGATTTGGAGTAAAGATAATATCTGGTGACTGTTTTCAGACTGAGTCTGAAAAGTGTCTTGATTTTGAGATATCACTTTTTGGGCTCAGAAATGAATTGTTTGTAAGGCTGCAGGATTTTAGAATAATTGCCTTGGGGCATTTGTTAGTGTAGCTTTGCTGGCACTGTCTCTCTTTTACACTTTTTATTCAATAGTATAACTAAGTGCCAGTTTACTGCCTCATTTTCAGTTTATATTATTTTCTTCCAAGCAGATTGCTTAATTAAGATGTTGAATTAAATTTCTTTAAATTCTACTGCTTAATTTGAATGATTATACATCTATGGCTCATTTTTCCTTAGTTATACTCCTGCAGTTCTTTGAGATTAGCCCTCTTCTGTGGGAATGCTTCTCATATCTCCTGAAATGTCAGAAATAATTCGTGCAAATTGGAAAACAGAGTGGGGAATGGACATTGTTGCTTTTCTTATATACTGAGCACAATTGGTGTTTTGTCATCAATGAGAATAATTAATGTGATCATTTAATAATCACTCTGCACAACGTGGATGTTGCAAACACCATGAAATGTGCTCAGCTTTCACAGGGTGAGCGAACATGGAAGATCCAACAGAGCCTGCATGAGAAAGGAACACTTTAGCTTCACATTCTGCTTTACCTCTACATTTTGTCCACAGACCTATGCTGTCAGGTCAGGTAAATATGGAACTGGGTGCTGTATGTGTAAGACAAGACAGGAGTTTTCTCATAAAACAAGAGTAAATGAAGCTACCTTTATTTTCATTAGTTTCAAATTGTTTTTTTCACTATCAAAGCCCTCTTCCCCCACCCTGCTTTTCCCAGGGTTTGTACTGCCTGGAGCAGCTCAGCTGTGCTGGCATAATTATACACTCAATCAATTAAATGATTTGGGTTAAAAATAGCTCCATCCCACAGGGCTCCTTTTAATCCAGGTCACTCCAGTGGTTCAGTGTGTAACCTGGCCTCACAGATGAGACTGGTGTGCTGGCAGAGTGGAGAAAATCCCACTGGACCATGTGCTGTGCTAAGGCACATGGAGAACAGGGATAAGATTTGGGACAGCCAACACTGCTTCACCAAGGGCTACAGATCTCATTTATCTGGAATTCTGTAAAGCCTTTGATAGGTGCCCTCAGCACCATTCTCTCTAAACTGGAGTGATATGGATTTGATGACTGGGCTGTTAGATGATTGAGAAATAGGTTGGATGGTCACATCCAGAGGACAATGGCTCGGAGTCCTGACAGGCATCAGTAACAAGTGATGTCCTTCAGGTGTCCATATTTGGAGCAGCGTTATGCAACTTAATCATAAATGACATAGATGAAGGGATCAAGTGTATCCCCAGCAAATTTGAAGATTATTCCAGGCTGAGTGGGGCTGTTTTTAAGGCTGTTTATTGGTTGTGCTACTAGACTAGGGCTACATTAGGATGGCACAAGTTGATTCAGAGTCAACTTGTGATACAGCATGGAAAATAAATATGGGTTTTTCAAAGTGTAGGCTTGTCATGAAAGTGTCAAACATATGTTAAAAGCGTTTTCTGCTGGTTTTGTAGTACTTGAGTTGGTTTATTTGGAACCTTGTGTATAAATTCAATGCTTGAGTTGGTTTATTTGGAACCTTGTGTATAAATTCAATGCTTACAAGTGGTTTCAAAAACTCCACTCAGGAGATAAGGCTGTAAAATTCTGCTTGAACAATCAAGTCATGTTCCTCTTGGCCATTACTGTCTGTACTGCCCACTCATGTGACTGCACTGATATTTCCTTCATCCTGTGTCTGTCTTCCTGATTGCTTTGGGTGTCCTGAGCTGTTCCCTAGTGCCTTCCTTAAACTTTTCCTTCATTAGCTTCAATCCATTACTCGCTATTCTAACTTCTCCTGAGACTGAATAATCCCTTCCTCTCGTTTTGTTGCCTTGAAATTATTTATAGTCTGTGATCACGTCTCTCTGGGTTTACTCTTGTCTAGACTAAATATATTTAGCTCTTTTACTGTCACTCTGCATGTCTCACTGCGTCATTTGTTACTTATTCTTGTTTTCTAGAGGTTTTCAGTACATTTCCTAAGCTGAGTAAAATAGCACTAAATATATTGTTCCAGGGTGGCCACACCAAAAGTAAGTTAACTGACATTATTAGCTCCTCAGTTCTATATGCTATTTCATGTACACACTATTGGCAATAACACCCCCCTAAGGTAATCTACCTTTCTTCTGGGCAGAAAGTTGAACTCATTCTCTGAAAACTGCTGCAAGGGCCAACTCCCACAGTCACTTCTCACATCATAATAACTGTGAGATTTCCAGTGGAGCAGATCTGAATCTTTTTTCTGAGACAATTTCCTTCTGTTCAAAAATACGGTTTTATTGGACTTGAAGCTTTGCAACACTATCTGACAATTTAAGCAGTTTAATGTTTCTAAAGTTTGCTGGTGAAGGCTGAACAATATTTACTGCTCAGTGAGCATGTGTTTTGTAAAGTGCAGGAAGAATAAAAAGTTCTGTATTTAAGTAGAATGTTTGTTGAGGTTTTTTTTAACAACTCTGTTTCATAGTAAATTTTGAAATTCTATCCTTATATTTTTTTATTTGAAAGGAAATATCATGTTTTAATAGCAGATTCTTTTGCTGAAGGAGACTGGTTAGCACAGATTTTATTTTAAGCTCTATTTCTGCCAAATAACTCATTATGATTAATTTTGGGTCATGATCTACTGGGTTTTTCTGTTAGGACTGTGACATCATATAGTGATGGACCCAAATGAATACTTAATCCATATGTTATGCCTCTATTACAGTCAGACTAACAGTACTAATCCCTTCCAACTCTGACTGCACATACTCTTTTAGGAATGAGGCCACCTTTCTTAGAAGTAAACCAAAATCTGGTAACACTGAAAGAGAACTTGTTGGCAAGGGACCAGGGGACAAAAGAAGTGAAACAAAAGCCTTTAGAGAATGCTGACATGGTCCTCTAAAGTGTTGCATATGATTTATGGAAACAGATGTCCAAAGACTTACTCTGTAGTCACTAGATGTCACATAAAATATAGGGAGAAAGGCCAGCCAAATGATGCACGTTGTGTACATTGTGAAACCGATAAACTTGGCTTCGTTGAAGTTCTCTGGACATTTCCTGGTTTTGAAGGCATACACAGTGCATAAAACCACGAGGATGACATCATATGTCAAGGACATTAGCATACTGGAATCCTTGACGTTGCATTTCAGGATGACAGTCTCTCTCTTCTCGGGAAGCGTGTATCTCCTGGTGCCTGGCGCCTCCAAGATGAGCCACACAGACACCACCACCACCTGTACCAAAATGAGACTCAGGCAGATGAACACCTGAGAGCTGGGGCTGATGAACTTGGGCCTCTGAGCACCGTTCTTTACGCCATCAAATATTCTGGCGATGCAGTTCGTTTTCGTCAGGAGGGCAGAGTAGCAGACGGCAAAGGAACTTCCCAGCCCCAAACGGCGCAGGGTGCAGATGGCTGGAGAAGGCTTGGCTATGAAGAAGAAAGTCATGCTGTAAGACAGGAAGACCCCGAAGAGCAATATGTAGCACAGTTCACGGCCAGAGGCTTTGACCAGGGGTGTGTTGTTGTGCTTGATGAACACTCCAATGACCATGAAAGTACAAATAAAGCCCAGGCATGCGATGGTAACGGGACCTATTGCCCAAGCATCTTCCCACTTGATGTAGTCTTCTGGGAGGTCATAGCAGCCAGTCAGGTCAGCTGTGGGCCATTTTCCAGGCCCGCAGTCTGCACAAGTGAATTCATCAGCCAGGTACTCATAGGTTTCACAGGGAATACAAATCCAACAGCAGACATCTCCTGGTTGCATATTCTTCATCTCATTAGGAGCACAGGGATCGCTGCACTGGGAGACAGGGATGGAGCTCCTGGACCAGTGGATAGAGTCTACCTCCAGTGACAGTGTTTCTGCCCACTGACCAACCTTCACATAGGAGTATCTGTCTCCAGTGAACTGGAAATTGAACACGTTGTATCGTCCTATCCCATCTCCATAGGCATCAAATTTGACCATACTGTCTGCATCATTGGGAGGGTTGAATGGAGCTGTGGGAAAAAAAAGAAAAAAAAAAGAAAGAAATAGAGAAATGTTATTACCAGAGCCACATACGATATTTTTTTCATCCCTTTGGCAAGCACAGGCACCTGACAGTCTATAGAATACAATTCAGTTGTGAACAGGGAAGTCAAGAAGTTTGTGTCTGTCTCAGTTTTGAACCTGGAAGAAGAGCTCAGATAGTGGACCTCTATTTCACTTTACATTTATAAATCTTAGATGACCAATGTCCTTACTTTATTTTGTCTTGGATAAAAATCAGTTGTCTAATTATTTGTCCCAGTATGCATCACTGCTGTTTCTCACATTTTCTCTTGAAAGAATGAGGTCTGCTTCTCAGTCTCAGCATTTTTTGGTGAAACTTGGCTGCCATGATATAAGAAAAATTAAATGGTCAGGTCATTAAATGTCAGTTTTGATGCCAACAATCTGGAATGCAGAGCTGAATAGAGGATTCATTTTTAGGATGATGGAGAAGTAACTGTGAAGTCCTCAACAGTTTCTTACTACATCTTCTTCTCCCTGCGTTGTAGGAAGTTTTGAATCCCTTCTACTTTGCTTCAGTTTTATCAGTTTCTGATATTTCCTGTGTGGTCTGAGATCCCCAGGATGTGCTGCTTTGGTCCAGTATCTTGTTTGGGGAACAGATGAAAAAAACACAAGCTGGATCTCGGACATTCTGTGAAATCAATATTGTAACACTTCTAACTGGTAAACTCTGGAGAGTTTTGTTTTTCCTCCAGCTGAGGCTTATCCAGGGAATGAAGAAATATTAAAAATCTGGGAGGAAATTGCATTTACCATGTGATTTATTGGTCAGTTGCTGTAGCATCAAAGGTAAAAAGCTTTACAGGCAGAAAGCAAAAGGGTTTTTTTACCATTGATGAGCAATAAAGGTGATTTTATTTCCCAGTGTCTTTGGCCATATAAGTGGTTCCACTGTCATTGCTGGAATAAATCTCTTTCCCTGCCTCTGTGCCCATGCTGTGCTTGAGTTTGAGCAATATCATATAAAGGTGTAATACCCTTCTCCACTTCAATCTCCAGATATTTTGGATTTCTTGTGGTAGATTTATTTAGCTTCTTTAAAACACTGAGGCCAGCTTCTTTCACCTTTATTCCTGCAGAGCATTACTTTATTTTGCAGTACTTTGGCTAAGGTCAGTAAAAGGGACACTGGGTTTTGTCACAGAAGCCCCAGCTGGAGGGTTGAAATTGTGATCTGCACATCCTGCACTTGTGCTGCACTCAGAGTGCATTTCTTTCCCAAATTTCTGCTTATTGTAGGGCAAATTCAGAATACAATTTACAGCAACCTATACTCTCTTCTGAGTCAAGAATCTGCTTGTTCTCATCCCTGCCTTCTCTTGCTCCTCCCCACATCAGTTGTGTCAGCCTCAGTGGTGGGCAGCCTTGGTTTGCAGGATTACAGAATCATGGAATTACAGAATTATTCAGGTAGGAAGGGACCACCAGCAGGGCCCTCTGATCCAACCCCCTGCTCAAGCAGGACCATCCCAGAGCACATGGCACAGGACTCATGCAGACAGTTCTGGAATACCTTCAGGGAGGGAGGCTTCACACCCTCTCAGGCAAACTGTTCCAGGGCTCATTCACTGCACATATAAGAAATTTTTTTCTCATGTTCATGTGTTACAGTTTCTGTCCTTTGCCTCTGTCTTATTGCCAGTGAGAAGAGCCTGGCTCCCTTCAGATACCCACATACTCTGATGAGGTCTCCTCTCAGTTGTGTCTTCTAAAGCCTGAACAAGCCCAACTCCCACAGCCTTTCCCCATATGACAGGTGATGCAGTTCCCTTATCATCTTTGTACCCCTCTGCTGAACTTGCCCCAGGAGCTTTGTGTCTTTCTTGTACAGTACAAATTAGGACTGGGGAGCCCAGGAACTTGCAAGAAGCTTATTTTGTCTTTTTTTTTTTTTTTTTCCTGTCACTGTTGGCAACTAGTTGTAGCACCCTGTAGTCCAACAAGACCTCTGAGACTACAAACATAAAGAGCAGCATAATCCTCCCCCAAATGGCTAGTCCTGCTGGAAGTGACATGCTCTAAATTAAATAGGTAGATAAATTCAAAATATAGGTCAACAAGAAGAATATTAAGCAGCTTTCCTCCTATCCCTCCTCCTCCTCATGCACAGGCATGCAAACTCCCTCATCCAGGAGCAGCATTAAAATGAAATCATAATGCAGCACTTAACAGCTCCTCAATAATGTGCTGTCATTGCCAGTGTCTTATTTCATTATTCATAACACTTATATAGATTGTAGAAGTTGTTAACACAGCAGCCCAGATTTAAGAAGCAGTTTATTCACTTCAGCATTATCCAGGCCAGCTCCTGAGGAGGGCTGAGAGCCTGGGACTGAGGCTGGCAGCAGTGGAGCTGCAGGTCAGGAACACAAACTGCAAATTGGTTCTTTGACATCCTCTGTCCAGTGCATAACTTGATGGCCACAAGCACCCCGGTGCAAGTTACCTGGGGGTCTGAAACACCATCACTTTTCAGGAGAGAATTCCCTCTGTGTAACATGTTTAACAACTTCTTATAAAAGTTCTGATAGAATATTTGTCATTTAAGCAGAGCAGAGTACTTTCCTTAGACTTGGTGGGTAGGCCCAGAAGGCAAAGCAGGTTATCTCACACAGAGTTAGCTTGAAGCTCAAGTATAATTGCCTTCCACAGGGCTGTTCCCACGCTACAAGAAACAAAAGATTTTTGTAGGACAACATGTTCTAAGTTAACCAAAGCTTGTAGCTTGAAACATTCATTTTTAGTAGCTGCTGATAGAGGAAAATAAATCACCCTCTTTCAGATGGAAAGGATGAAATCATTTAACCAAACAATGATGTATTAAATTATAGTATGGTGAGCCAAAGCCTACAAATGAGCCCACTGGGTGGCAGCAATTAATATACCCACTGATTGCATATAAAATCACTAAAGCATTTTAAGGTATAATTTATCAACATATTCTAGATCCCATAGGATCATTTCCAAAAAGTAATGTTTTCACAAAATATGATGTAATAATAATCATAAATCAAGATGCTTATAGGCAAGAAAGATACTTATCACAAGAAAGCAGGACTTTATTTTTTAGAGTAAAAATAACAATTTTTGCAAATTGGTTTTCCCAGAGATGATGTCAGGCTGTCATAAGTCACTCTGCAAATTTTTTTATATATCTCAGTTTTGAGAGAAAACCTACAATCTTTATAGCAGGTATTTCTGGAAGGTCTATTTCAGAGTTGTAGCTCAGCTCTTTTACATTCATCCCTTGGGAGAGGACAGGCAAGAGTCTCTGGATCTCATCAGCTGCTAGCTAAGGGGCTGAGTGACAATATGAACTTTGCCTCCTCTGAGCCTTTGAATCTTCTCCTTCCCTTGCATTCATGAAATAAGTCAGCCCTGTGTAAAGCAGTTATGGAAGAGGAATTTTGTAAAGAAGTTATCAAGGAAAATAAAGGATAATTAAAAAAAACTTAAACCAGTGATGCTTTGTGTTCCAGCAATGGAGATGTAACAGCAATGACATTTATGAGAGCAGGAGGGCAGAAGACAGAAATCTTTGGAATCTGGGTGCAGGCAGCTCAACTCTGTCAGCTCCTTGGAGAAATCCTAATGGAGGAGAGAATTCCATTGTGCAAGTGGAGGACAAACTCTTCAGCTTCAGATAAGAGAGGAATAACTGCAGATTTTTGGTGTCAGTGACGTACAGCTCTTGGTGACATGAAAAATTCCAGAAAGAAAGTTCTGAGAGGAGGTTTATTTTATCTTTGAGAAAAACCTCTATTTGAAGAAGTAGCATGAGAAATATGTTTAAATGCTTCTAATTCTGCACATTGCCTCAGCTGTGTGAAAAATACTCCAGGATTTTTTAACAAGGAATGAATAGATGAGGAAAACAAAGCAGTTTTCATCATAATTAGGCACTGGAAATCATTTAAGAGGCTGAGAAGCTTAGAGAAAGATGTGTGTCATCTCAGCTGGCTTGGAATCAGACAGGGTTTTGTTTGTCAGCAACATCTTTGGGCCAGGAAGGATATTTTGCAGAGTCTCGCATGTGTCTGGCACAGATTTGAGTGTGTAGAAGTTGTCCTATAGAAAACATCCTCAGTAACACTTCCTGGTAGGAATGATGACAGATATCCCTGTCTAAGATGTCGAAGAACATTCTTCACGTCCCCTAAAACACACATCTGCCTTTTACAGAGTGTATTCTCTCTAAACAAGGTACAGATCCCAGAGGCACAGCTCACTAACTAGGAGGCAATTCATTGATAGCAAGGCTTGATGAAAGCGCTGCAGTTTTTCAGCTTGGCAGTTGGCAAAGCTGGGAGATTTCATGTGCTTCAGAAAGAGATGCAAAAAGGACTATTGGGTGCACTGAAGGTCCCTTCTTCCACAGCTTGTTGGTCCCAAAGATTATGAGGAGATTATGATTAAATACAAATGGGAAAGTAAAGATGGAACAGGCTGTAGTTTTTGATAAGTTGAGTGAAACCTCCCTAGTCTCACTAGATGGTGCTGCAAAAACTCCAAATTTCTGGTTTAAGACTGAAAAATAAGACACTTTTATGTAACAGGAAAATAAAGTTATTTTTTAACCGCCCCCTACTCTTCCTGTTACATATCCAGGGCAATGTCTTTTTAAAACACTTTAATGAAGAGCCTAGACAATAATATAACAGGATATGGTGTGTTTGTCCAACAGGCTCATCCGTGTGTACGATGCCTTATCTTGAAAAGTATCAGAAAAGACCCTGAGAATGCATATTTATTTTTATTCTCTTTTATTTTTAGCTTGATATGGCTTGTTGAGGTCAAAGTGACTTATTTCTGCTTGGCTGAACATTTAGACTGAGCACCAGAGAAGTGATGCACCCACTCCTGTTTCTGCTTCAGCACAGTGCAGCTGGTTCCTTACCTGATTGACAGAAGGCACATTGAAGTTTTCAGATTCAAAACTTCA